TCCTACTTATGCACGTTTAACCTTCTTCTGACATCGTGAAGTAGGGTAGAAGTAGAGTATTCCTGATTCCCTCCTTGCGCATTTCAAAATACTGTGTTCTGAAAAGAGTTGAAGCAGTTTCAGTTCGTTTGCATTTCAGTGATCATACCTCGTATTGAAAACACGATCAATTATATTGTGACGGAGTTGGACGAAATGGAAAGAGAGGAATTCTTCAGGTGCTCTTTCTTATGGTTTCTTTTGAAGGCAAAGTTTTCATGGAAAATGTAAAGTATCCATGCCACTGTCTTAGCACTTTGTTTAGTTTGAAAAGAAGTTGAAGATGTGGGGTGATTGAATTCCCTAGGTGTCGGAACTTCTCCCCGAATTCCCACTGCTTGCGGCAGTGAGTCCGCGGCGACTCTCCGTATCCTTTTACTAGGAATTCGGATTTTTCCCTTTACATGCGTGATCGCGTGCGGCGGGCACGACACGCCGTTCGGGGAGAAGATACCAGACTCGTACTCGCTTTACAGTTTGCCCACTCTCGAAAAGCATATCATGGTAGAGGGAGTTGAAACAAATCTTTCATTTGTTGACTAACCAGTTCTCCGACATCAGGGTCAAGTTGGAGAATGAATTTGCATCAAGTCATTGTTCAGCCCTGATAACAACCCGCACTTCCCGAGAAGAAGAAAAAACGATTCTTCAAACATCGTAAATTTTGCGAATCCCTCGGTGCGATCCAATGTTTGTTCCACGTTCAAGACGATTTTTCTTTCTAAGGCTAGGATGGCGTAGACCTCTGTTAAGCAGCACCCAGCAACCATGTCCGAGTGTAGATCGGAACTCTATGTAACTTTGTTATAAGTTGATCAAATAGGTTGGAAAAAATGGGGACTTTGAACGGCCTTATTGTTTTTGTGCCACTATCTTTTTATTGTTCACGAACTGTTTCAGAATGAAAAAGATTCAAGCGAACAAGAAGAAGCAGAAGGAAATCGAGTTAGCAGAACGTGCCGCTGCAGGCATTGACATTGCGTATAACGATGATACAGAAAATTATCAGCCAAAAAATCTGTTAGCCGTGCAAGATGAAGATCCGATATTATTCTAGTGCTCTAATTCTTTGTTTTTCGTCATGATTCACTTTTTTGTTCGGCGATTTTTGCCCTACTGTAGTACTTGCCGACTAGTAATTGAGTAGTCGGTTCTAACTTGTTGTATTAGCAAGTGACTCGAACGTCTTAGTTGCCCGAGACATTCCACATTTACATGATGTATTCGTATCAGCTCATAGTTTACATCATGAGAGTCTGTATAGATCGATTGAAAAGCTTGTGATAACGTATATTCTGTTTTCCAGGAATTCACTAGTGAGTCATTAGCGAGGAATTTTGTATCTTGTCATATTATTGTGAGATGTTTTCATGGTTGTAATATAAATGGGCTTTTTGCGAGCAGTGTCGCCAAGATTGTGAGGAAAGTAGGCCTCTCAACTATTTGATTGGTTCGATGTGCTTTCGCTCTTTTTCACTCATGGAATGGAATCAATTTCGCACAGCGGTCTGTCTTTACCAGTGTTAGTAGAAAGTGGCAACTGAATAGATGTTGCATTAGGCTACGGCATCTCCTTAATAAAAAAGATAAGAGGACGTGGTTGCTTGCACGTTTGTAGGGGTTGAAGCCGCTTTCTGTGTGCTATATTTTTGGCACGGCCATTTCATTGCTGAAAGTTGTCTAAATGTACGCCACAGCATTGGCAATTTGTCTTCAGTGGTTTTAAAGGTCCTACAGATTTCATACATCTTGGCCTGGAGCAGTTGTCTTGCAGTTCCCCATATATACCTTGTTTTATGTAATCCCAGTGTGCCTCAAGCGGGGTAACCAGGTCTTACAGCTACAAAGAGATGGAGAAGAGTGATGAGCATGAGCTATAGGTAGAAGAATCCTTTAATTCCATTTACTTGGTAATTTCAGGTAGAGAGATGGTATGCCCAATGACCTAATTCGTCTAGTCTAGAAGGAAGATTTGATGAAGAATACCTTGGAGTGAATAATTTTTTCTTGAAAGCGTTCCTCTTGGGTCATTTGAGTCAGTAAGGATTCAAAGCAAAGTTAATTTTTTGGTGCTCTCAATCATAGGGTTTACAACGGATCTCTTAAAATAGCACGTAGTGACCTTCATTCATTTGTTTCCCATCGGGTGTGGTGCGATTCACGCGCCAATGTAATGAGGTCATCGTACAAAACGCGCTAAAAATCATGACTACCATCATAACGGAAGAAATAAGGACTTATAAGTAGAATAAGTAAAGAAATGACCAACCATGCACGTTTACAGAAGGATTGCATCTTCTAGTATCAAAGAATTTGAAGTTATGCTTATATTGAACGTTTGGCATGTAAATTGTTGACCTATGAGGTGAATTTTCAATCTCGAAGGGGCTTTTTTTGCCATAGCTAAGAGATTTGCTCTATTCGCGGTGAAGCCGTCGACTACTGCAAATATATTTGGTCCATCTCAACAGAAAGGTACTGAAACGATGCTGCGTGCGCGAAGACCTCTAATGGGGTCACGCGTGAATCGCGCGCCCCCCGTTTCCCATCTATCGGGTGACAAACTGTTTCGCGACGCGTGGTATTTATCTACGAACCCCCGACTCCTCGTCCTTAATCGATATCGACTCGTATTTTGCAAAGGAATGGAATTTTTGACCCTCCCTCTTTTTCTGTGCTCGTTGTTGCCTTTGGCAATCGCATTTTCTGAGGTCACCTTTTGTGGGACACGTTATTAAGGACCGTCCTCTGTCGTGCATTGCAGCATGGTCCTAGTCAACCTTCTTTCAATTCGAGTCTGCAGAGTATCATTTTAATATGTGATTCTTGATGCCTTTTTTACTTGAAGAGCATCATCAGGTTGTAGTTTCACCTTTGTTTCCTTTTACCATCCTCACAACTTTTTCCATTTTTAAGCACTTTTTATAATACCCTTTCAGTATGATGATTTTTACATCCGAGTCTATGAGTATTCATGAGCCAGGATTTGATCACCACGCGTTTGGTTCGAAGTTCAAATTCCACATCGATATCCGTATAGTACACCAAGTCTTCTATTTACCCGGAGTTGTTGAATTAGTGCCAAGTTCATTAAGATAGAGAAAAGTACTGGCCTTTACATGGAACAACTGATTCTCATAGATCATTGAATAAGTCGAATATGTAGTCTCTCTTTGCTGTTATCCCGAATGAAAGTCCATCGCTTGGGTGGAACCCGAATGGAATTGGCGAACACTTTTTTTCGGTCTTTGAGGTTCTAGTGTATTTTGAGAATGGTTGCGAGGTCATCGAAATGTTAGGAAGACAAGCGCAGTTTCCTCATATATTCTGGAATGTTTTTGAGGACAGGTGCCTAAAAACTACAGAAATGACATTGGAATATGTGCTAGGAGGCAAAGTGATCTAATTGTATGAGGACTCCCTCTAACGATTACGTTAGACGCAAGCGTCGGGTGTATCCAACTAATTCAGTCGTGAAGACTGTTCTCAAATACCTCGTGAATCGGCTGGGGCAGAATCAGAGAGGGAATCGAAATCAATGTCTCCTGAAGAAAGGATATACTGTTCCTCCGTTTTTCTTTCACGATCAATTTTGGCCTGTTCCCTCGCGATTCTTTTGCTTATTACTTGTCGCAACCCATTTGCCCAGTCATTCTTCTCATGCCTTCTGCTATTCATCTTCTTGAAGGCTTTTTGCTAAGAGTGGTATTCGTCTATTTTCTCTCATGTACATATATGTGTATTGAGTATAGACCAGTCTTTAAATAGTGAAGCACGAAATACGATATTAAAAATGACATCTAAAGTGCTACCTCTTCAGGTGAGAATAGCTGATGTACGCTGATTTTTGTAGTGTTCATTGAGCAAGGGAGCCTATAACTACTTCGTAAGGACATTATTGTCTTTGTGTGAAGTGTCGTTTAGTTGCATGTCGATATGAATATTTCTTGAGGGGTATATCTTGTATGTGAATTGAACGCAATCAGCTGAAGGTTTCATGAGAACAGATTGATTTTGTCAAAGTTTCCCTCTTTTCCGTCTATTTTGGTGGCCACAAGGGCCTTGGATAGGACCTTCTTTGGAGAGTATGATTGCAGTTCTTTACTTCTGTATTGAACCAGTTTCAACGGATTTTCTCTAAGAATATGATTGAGGGACGGTTCCCGCTTCTATATTAATTTTCTGTTCTGACTGAGCTTTGGGCTGGCGATTCCATAATGGTCGATCGAAGAGAGTCATGATTGCGAATGCTTGTGAGTCTTATGCCAGTTATCCACGTATATACTATATGTTGGCAGCGCTAAATGAATTGCTGTGGAGACTGAATGAGATAGTCATTGCCAGTAGTCGTGAGTAGTAGAGTAGTACTCCTTCAGGGTTCTTGTGAAAAGACGATTTTCAAATGCTTCAGCCGCCGGCTGGTTAGTGATACCATGGGCATGACGCGCGTGTCGATCCAGAAGGTCAGTCTCATTATAGATTCGGATGAATGTTAAAAGCTCTCAAAGTGCTCTCTCCCAAATTCGTGTTTTTTACTTATTCGTCAGCTAATCAGGCATTTCCCAATCCTCAATTCCTTTAGACATGAAATTGGTGACGTATTGAAATGAACTCAATTGTGTGAACTCAACGAACCCTATTATTATGCTTTTTTAGGAAGATTACGTCATTCCATTAATTCGCTTTCGCTTTGAATAGGATGTTTTCGAAAGGTGTTTCCTCGTCCTCAAAAGGTATTTCCTCAATTATCGGGATCAAAAGTGAGGTCTTGGTCTTACGCTCCTAGCTAATTTTTGAATGTTCTGCGGCATCATTCAATGCCGCTTTCGAAATGGCGCAGTGAAGAGCTTTTTAATTAGTTCTTCCTATTTTTTTGTGTTTTTCGAAGAATTTCCTTCAGAGAACCGCTGTTTTTTGTTTTCAAGACAGCCGATGTCATGATTGGCTGGATAGTAGAGTCCTAGAGAGATTCTTCTTAGTGATATCAAGCACGGTGGTAGATAATTTGCATTTTTGCTTCAATATTCAGTCCGTCATCTCTTCCGTCACAAGTACGGAAGCTTCAGAGCTCTGCCAATCACAAATGTTAAGTCCACCAAATGTTATGGTTTCTCACCCTCTTTTCAGGTCAGATTAGGAATGATGTGCTTGACCACGTGTCTCATTTCTACAGCAAGGCCTGGTTGAGTAACCCTGAACTGGGATGTGTTTCCGATGCGATGAGTGGATCTTTCTGGTCCCTTCTCGAAGCCAACTAAACATTTATGCTTATAAGACAACCCAGCTCGAATAGTCAACGTGACAGTGCTATTGTGTAGCTACTTCTCAGCCCGAGAAATCAAATTCTTACGTTTCTCGGCTACCTCAATTCGTTCTTACTACTTATTTACAGTGTTGATGCAAACTTAACTTCTAAGCCTAACAGAGATTCGTATTTTTTCNTTTCCCATGCAGCTTTCTGCGTCTGATTTTCTCAATTTTTTTCACGGCTATGCACTTTCTAATGGCATAGTTAATCAAAATAATTAGGTATGTCCCTATTTAACCTTTTGATCAGACATTTTGTTTCATCGTCTTTTTCGTGGCAGCTGGGTATGTGAATTGATTTTATTGATATGTGATTCCTTATTCGAGTTGTTGGCAGTAATAGCCGTCAATGCTTTCCCAGTACTCGAAATCCCCAAAACTTTTGAGAAATCAGAATATGAAGCACTTCAAAAGTAATCTTGATACTTTCTGAGAATGATGGTGTTGTGAGTCCATTTTGCTGATGCATATTGAACGTCTTTCAAAGCAAAGGATTTTTCGAAGATGGTAATTGAGAGCTAGAAGCCCCTGAAAACGCACAATTCTGCGTGTTTCAATACTGGGAGGTTTTCTTCTTCTATGCAGCACTGAATATTGATAGCGATTACAAAGAGATTCCGAATTCTTTGTCGTTTGCTGGTCAATAATTCATATGATTTCCCTACAACCGGTTGTCCCTTTTATCTTAAATTCTTTTGTCGTCAGCTTCATTGGTTCTCTCAAGTGCATACGCATGTAATAATGGATTCT